TTTAATGAGGCATTCATTAAGATTCGTTTAATTAAAATTATACTTGTTTAACCTAGTTTATATTAATTATTACAAATATGACACTGAATGGTGCAGGGGAAAATGTTTACTAATGACCTTTATAAGGTTTATATATACAAAATTAGATGACTCGGGGAACTTAGTATCACCTACATAATATATTTGTTTCGAAACTTTTAAAAGAAAATTTTTAATACGGATAGGATAGCTATGAAACACAAATTTCTGAATCTATAAGTGAAATTTTATTATTTCTAAAAAGACAAAAGACACCAAATATTTCCAGGAACAGTTTTTAGTATTTTTCTTTACTTATTATTTATGTTTCCCACCGTTTAAACCTTCCCTGAACTTCCACAAATATCTATCTAAGCCAAACGAACAGCGATTTATTTTTATATATACATATAGATTATAGAACCGTGGCAGGTTTTTTTAAATATCGACAAGCCCCCAGCACTAAACCGAAGAGCGCGAAATGTAGATAAGTTACCCATTTGAATGCCGCTCGCGTCCTAACCGACGCGGGATCGTTCGAATTTTGAATATTTACAATAATACTCAATGCTGGCTGAAAAGTTCACAATCATCGAAAATCTATTTTATTGATTGCCAGTAGCAAAAACTTTTAAACTTCCAATAGATTTAAAAAAAGAATGTATATTTCAGAATACTAACAGATTACAGTTACTTTTCTTACCCAATAAAATTTAAAATACAGATAACATCTTCAAAAACTTTTCCAATAGATTTAAAAAAAGAATGCATACATAATACTAACAGATTACAGTTACTTTTCTTACCCAATAAAAATGTAAAATACAGATAACATCTTCAAAGCCCGCGAGCAAGAAAGTTGCCTGACACAAAAAATATGAAATTTAATTGGGCAAGGTGTTGCTAATACATAATTTTAGCCCGCGGCTAGTTCAAATGAAAGGAAGCGTGTAATTTAATTTTGCTTCGTGTTAGAGGTCGCTAGGTGAGCCCACATTCCTGAATAAAATAAAACTAAGTATACTCTTTTAAATAACTTTATAGTGCTAGTATATCTTGCATCTTCTAAATTCCGTCTGTAAAGACAAACCTAGGACTTCAGGCTCTCATTCTCTTCGCGAGTATCACAGAATAAACACTTCTTATCAAGAGCTTTATATATTCGGTAGTGGGCTGATCAATTTTCAAAAGGCATTGTAAAGTGCCTATATGATACGAAATCCATTATTTTACAAGTAATTTTTGGTTGATCAATAGTAAAATCTAAAATTGGAAGTATATTATTAGTATATTTGTATATAGTATTAGTATATTTTTATTTTTTGTAAAGTTCTGTTTACCGTAATTGTGATGTTTAGAACAGATAGATTGTAACTTATACTGTGGAAAATGAATTATATTAAATCATCTCCATGTCTATGGGCGGTATCACTTAACATTTGGTGAGCTTCCGGACCGTTTTTCTATAAAAATAATTGGTTTACTTTAATAAATAAATAACATAACTGAAGTTGTAGTTATTCACTGATGACGCGAAAGATCGATTGAGATTTTACGTAGCATATATTTCTTAAATTAGCGATTAAAAACAGCGGCGGAGAGTTTATTGCCAGTTTTTCTCTTCCGTTCTACGCCCTTGATTTGAGAACTGGCAGTAAATGTAAAATTAGAAGCATTTCATATATATTTATTTTTTGACGTTCAAGGGTGTACATTTTATTACCTATGTGAATAAATTATTTTTGAATAAATACAGTAAAATTAAAATAATTTAATAATGAAGCTTTCGAGCGATCTCTTCCAGTCAACCACTGTTTCACACTGTTATACATTAAATAAGTAAGCACATGAATTGCGAAACTACATAATTACTAAGGCATAAAGAGTGGACAAAACAAAGCAATTATAACATATGTAGACAGTGGAAAAGGGGAGATGAATCGATAGGGAAACGATGTGGACAGGTAATGAGAGAGATTTAAAGGAATATAGAGAAGGCGATAAGCGGATAGGGACAGGAAGTGAATTCCATAACTGCTGAGATCCTGAATTAGTTCCTAAAATATAAAATAAGTCATGTCATGTCATGAACGCGATAATCTCAAAAACTACGTAATTTACGTACGGTTCTGCCAATTTGAGTCTTATATATTCCTAAGAAGTTAACTGTACATATATAATATATATTATTGTTGAAACTAGTCTTTTGATTTTGAGATGAACTCATAATGACGCGAAGCGGCAAATAAATGCAAACTTTTTCAGTCGCACTCTTTTCTGAAGTTCGTGTTAGTGGCGGCGCACAACTTCCTCCAGTCTCCTATGTCTTCAGTAAGCCTCTGCGCCTGGGTGATGGCAAGACCTGTAAGGGCCTTTATATGATCGGGCCACCGAGTAGGGGATCGGCTTCGAGGTCTGGTACCCTCCACTCTGCCAGTCACGATAAGTTTTTCTAAACTTTCTGGATCTCAGCGGGTTACATATTAAAAAAAACTCAACAATGGTGATGATTTAAACGCGGGTTATTAATTTCTAAAATTCGAAAAGAATGGAGAAAGTGAAAGATTTTTACCTAACTTGTCTTTTAACCAATAGTTAGCGACCCTACGACTATAATTCACAGTAAGACTGTCAAAAACGTATTGACATTTAGACAGTCAAAGAAAGACTGAAAGTTAGACAGTACTTAGCGCTTATCATTTTGTCTATGTCTTAAATCTCTATATTTAAGATACGGTAATATGCTTACAAATGTTACCCTTCAAAACAGTAAACTACGGTGCAATTTAGGGGTATCTTATATCAATTTACTGGCAACATTTGTGATGAATGTTGTTCCAGTGGTTTTAATATGATTTTTTATTGCCCTCGCCAAGTGCAGTGTTTACTTTCTTGGATTCATATTTGTTTGTGACTACGTATAGAATTTCTATACATCTACACCATGACCATTCGAAAGCCTATAAATTAAATTCTTCCGCCTGTAATTATAAAAACTAAATCAATCAAAATTTATTTATTTATATTGGTAACTTACACTTGTGAACATGAGTAATAATAAAATGGAAGGTATACATTCAAATATAAGTACTATAAAAAATAAAAGTCCTCTACCCGGCCCTACTGGCTGGCTGCGAAACTCACTGGGCACTTTCTAACCAGCACAGGGACATTTTAGCACACTGCCAAAGAGCCATGGAAAGAGGCATGCTGAGAATAAGAAAATTAGACAAACAAAGAAACACATAAGATATTATCACTAAGATAGACCAAATAAAATGGAGATACAAGGGTCATATGCTACGAAGCCGCCATGAAAAATGGAGCAAAATATTGACGGATTGGTACCCTAGAGACGGAAAACGAAGAAGAGGCCGACAACGCAAAAGATGGGAGGACGAACTCTTAATTAACAGTAGGCTAACTGGAGAAGAGTCGCAAAAGATATAAAAAAAGAGTGGATAGGGTTACAGGAGGCCTTTGCCAAGAGAGTTCGCCGTTCGAACTCGGAGATATACTGTAGTAAATATATCACAGAGTTCGGAATATAAAGGCTATATTATATAATTTCCAATAGCGATTATCCCGACGTTAATATAACGTTCGACTGTATATGTAACTTCTATGTAGTTCCCTTAATACCCGTAGCGCTAATGTCGCCTTGGGATCGCGCAGAACAAAAACACAAAGATATCGTTATTAGAAGTACGGGGCTCAGTTCCCAAATTACAATAAAACTCTGATGAAAAATGACTCAGTGAACATTTTCAATAACTCCATGGAGACCTTTCGCCGAGTCGTTTTAATTATGTGCTATTTTTTTTTATTCCTACATAATTGTATTTACAGTGTATATTCGCGGATGGTTGGCGGACCAATGCGACTTCTTCAATACAAAGAGTGTCCTCGTGAGTTGTGTTCTGCGATATTGCGGGTTACTCGATTGTTAGGAAGTTGCTTGTATCTGGTTGGCGCCTTCTTAAGTTCAGTTGTCATTTTTACACATGTATATCCCTTCTATAACATATTTTCATAAGTATCTGATTGTCCTCCTGATACGTGTGACTCTTTAATCGCTAAGCTTTTGGTTTCCGTTAAGCATCACACTTCACTTGACATAACAAACAATATAATAACGCATTGCAAATCGCACCGATTTAAAGCAGTCTTATCTCTTTTCAACGCAGGGTTAATATGACGGAAAGAGTCGAAATGGTACTTTAGTTACAGCTACTAAACTAAAATGATTTGGTATAAGGGCGTTAGTATTTAATAAATATTGATAGCTAGATTGACGGGTCTATCGGACATGTGGAGGACGATGGTAAACAGTCCAACCACTGACTGGCCGAAGGCCTCAGTGGCTGAGGACTAGAAGTTGTTTATATCCTTATCGGTCAGAAGAATGTAGCGTGTTACAAAAGTCAAAACTCATTTACACTCACTAAACTCACAACACAATGTACACTTATGAACGTCCAAAAGAAATATACATTAAATGCTTCTAATTTTACATTTACTGCCAGTTCTCAAATCAAGGGCGTAGAACGGAAGAGAAGAACTCGCAATAAACTCTCCGCCACTCTTTTTAATCGCCAAGTTTTTTGTTTTGCACAACGTTTGTAAGGAACTGCAACAATTACACCATGTTCCACATGACATCTTAAGTAATAAATAATCATAAAATAAATTAAAAACAAAGATTTCTCCTCTACCAGCAGAAGGCATGGTGAAATTCCTATTTCACGCACGCACTTACATTCTCGTGGGAACAATAGGCAAATACATAGTAAAAATAACTAACATCACCGCATACACGAATTCAAGTACGACCAGTCACCACAAGTAGCACCCGTTCACGAGTATGACGCATGCTCAGCGGTCGGCCTGTATAGGGTGTTGCTACAGATATGTTGATCATATAAGCGTAATAATGGGAATTATTTTTGTTTAGATGCGGTGGCGTGGATAATCCATCAGGGATGCAGGGCGGCGCGCCTGCTTCTGACGCTGAGCAAGCGCAGTTCGAAGCTGATAAGCGCGCTGTCTACAAGTAAGTTATAACGATTACGGGTATATTATGTAAAAAAAATACTAACTTATTATAAACTAAACTAAATCTTAGCAATACCTCAAATAAATAGGTGGGTGCTATGAGGTTTTTTGGATTATCCTACCAAACCTTTCAATTAAGGATCAGAAAATAAATGTATTATACCTATGTTCTACCAATTATATGTTACATCTTGTATAAGGGCGTTTCCAGAAACATTTCAAATGAGACTTCAATAATAAACCCAAAATTTATAAAAAACTTATACCTTAGACAATTTCGAAACCCACAAAATTTCAAATAATTTCACAAAAACTATAACCGTCTCATACAAGACAATTACCGTCTCTAATTTTATTAACTACCCTCAACATAATATTATAAACTGTCAAATGAAAAGATTGGAAGTGTCGCGGGTCTATGGTCGAACTAGTGTGATTAGATGAAACATAGTCATTACGCGGTCTGTCCTTAATACTAATGTTCATTTCCGTTCATCTTTTAGGCATCCACTATTCCCCCTCCTAGCTCTATTACTAGAGAGATGTGAGCAGGCCACTGCGGGGGCAGAGGCCCCAGCGGCTGACGCTTTTGGAGCTGATCTGCAGGCCTTCGTTCAGCATCAGAGGAGGGACAGGCGGCCTTTCCTCGTCGATGACCCTGAGATCGACGGACTCATGATTAAGAGCATACAGGTAACATAATACATTTCTTATTTGTATTATTGTTGTTAGTTAAAAATAAATTCGATAATTAGAAAAAATATATGTTTATAGCCATCTTATTTATTTATATTATCACGCCTTTTTCACAAAGGGGTGGGCAGACACCACGGATCTCCACTTGCTACAGTCCTGACATACCTCTTTCATGACAATCACCATGCATGCTAGTTGGTTAAGAGTACTTTTAACTTGTCCCTTCTCTAGCACTTCCGGGATTTGGTCCAGGTGTGCATGACAAGGCCTACCCAACCCGATCTCACAATCTACTGTTGCCGTCTATATACCACTTGTTAACCGCTTGTCATTCATCCATTCATGGCCAAAGCACCTAAGCATTCCCCTCGAAATCTTATTAATTAGAATCATTAGTATATAGGACATAAAAACTTTCAGGTGTTAAGGATTCACCTGCTCGAACTGGAAAAGGTGCAAGAGTTATGTCGAGACTTCTGCGGACGGTACATAGCTTGCCTCAAAACCAAGATGCAGAGTGAAAATCTCCTGCGTACAGATTATTCTGGAGGTAAGGCCTGGCTTCAGCGTGCGACTCTCATTCCTGGGTTCGTAGGTTCGATCCCCGGGTGTGCACCAATTGACTTTCTTTCTATGTGCGCATTTAACATTTGAACGGTGATGAAAAACATCGTAAAGAAACCGGATTGTCTTAGACCTAAAAAGTGGACGGCGTCTGTCAGGTACAGGCTGATCACCTATTTGCTTATTAGATTGACGAATAATCATGAAATAGGTAGAGCAATCTGAGGCCCTGACCTAAAAAGGTTGTAGCGCCACTGATTTATTTTTATTTTAAGAATAATTTATTTGATATTTGCTTAAAATTCATAAATCATATTTTTATTTTATTTGCTTAGATAATTTAAAATAAAAATAGCCTGTATTCGAGTACTATAAAGATTAAATTAAGTTTATGTTACTATATTTAATATAAGTACACGACCTCCGACGGAGTGAAGATCTCCAAATTCTTCCATTTGTCTCACATTTTGGCCACTAACTGCCAATCTTTCCCCGCTATCTCTTTTATTTAATTTTCCAAGGTTTCTTTCTGGTGAACGTCCTCTCCTTTTTCTTCCCCCAGTGGGAACCATTCCAAGTTAGCTTTTTGACCCATCTGTCATCACAAACGCGGGCAATGTGACATTTCCACTATTTTGTATCTGTTATTTTTTTGTAAGGTGTAATCATTGTTTATTACTTTGTCTTTTTCAACCGAATAGTAGAACGCTCCAGAGTCCTTTGGCATACTCCAGTATTATTTATTAGCGCCCTATTATAAGCTAAAAGATATATTTAATTAATTTGTTTTAATTATACGTTATGACTGGAAAGGTATTTTTTTGATATACTAAAATATATAACAAAATAAATATATAATTGCGTTTAATTATAATATGACATTTGCAAAATTCATCCAAAATAATATGAACCACTTTCAAGGAAAGGATTTATTTAAAAAAACCTTTAAAATATAGAAATTATCTGTAATTATACATTGTTAAATGAAATTATGTGTAACAGCAGGATTTCCGTTTTATTATTAGCGTTTGATTACTTAATAATTGTCAAAGATAACGTCGACACGATATTTAATTGATTAGATAAAATTATAAATGTCTACTTCGTTTTGTTAGCCTCATTAGCCTATTTCATTAATCTAAAAAGTAAATCAGTTTTTATGAATATATATGTTAAGAAAACATAATATATTTTCCTATACAAACTCTTGTCTATATTATCTGTGTATGTAGCTTTAATATTTAATTTGTTTAATGGTTCACAGGTGGCGTGGAGAGCAATAATAATTTATCCGGTACAATTGATGATCACTCGAGTACATCGAATTCACCACAGTATCAGGTATCAGGTTTGCATAAGGGATTCAGTATAACTAATTAATTCTGGATTAAAAATTATCTAAATTGCTTCAACGGTTTGGGCGTAAAAGTTGATATCAAATAAGGGAGCGTTCAAGTATTACGTCATGCAATTTTTGGAGATTATTGACACCCCGTAACGCGCCGTAACGTTTTTCTGTACCCTAGGACAGTACTGTAACCAAGTATAGTAAAACATTTCGTGACCACCCAGTGGCTCTTTAACCTAAAAATTACCATTATGTGGTGTAAAGTATTGGAAAGTCGAAAATAATATTAACAATAACGCGTAATTCAATCCCCGCCCCGCATCGTAACGTTTTACAAAAGGACCCCCCCTCCAAAATTCGTTACGTAATACTTGAACGCTCCCTTAGACGTAATTTTATAAAACAGGGGGCACACGGTCAGGAGGCTTATCTGATGTTAAATGATACCACTGCTCATGGACTGAGTGAGTGAGTTGCCGGCCTTTGGAATTAGCACGCTCTTTTCTTAAACCTAAGTCGAATTCATTCAGTAATAGCTAGGGCAGCTGGTTCCACATTTTTAAATACATATATGTGTTTTTCCAGTCTCCCCCCGCCGCGCCGTTACCAGCCCCAGTGTATCCAGTTTACCCTCCCCCCCACACGGAGCTACCGTTCCCCCCTCATAGGGATCCACGTAAGTATTCCATATATACATTATACATGTATGGTGAAAGGGTAGGCACCGCAATTTGTTTTAAATTAATAAATTATTATAAAAAAGCGTTATTTTAACTAAAGTAGTACTGTCTCATTCTATCACAGTGTAAATACAATTTGACAGAAAGGGGCGAAAGTACTCTATTCTAGAACGTCAAGTAAACTTAAATCTTATTTCAAGAGCTGCAAGGGCCATTTTTCTATATGAACTTTGACAAATTATAATATGGACCCTTAAGAGTCATTTAGTGAAGTTGGCAACTTATGTCAAAATCGTATTGAATATAATAATACGGGAGTTATTCGCTAAGTTCTTTACCGCCTTTGTAAGAACGCATGTAGGCTGTCTCGATTTCAGCGTTAGAATCTCCAGAGGTTCCAACGAAGTCTGAAGCCGTCAAAAAGCCTTTTATACGATCCGACAGATCTTCTGTACACGTCTGAAAAAAAAATTGTATTCTCGAATCCACTCACAAAAATTTCATCAAAATCAGTCACCCGCTAAGGCTTGCGCGAGCATCAGTCACGCGGCGCACGCGCATTCCAGCTCTATATCCCTAGATAATAAGCGCGATGACCAACACTCGCGCACTTTCGCGGGCACTTTAATACACAGAAGATTTGTATATATAAAGATGTATCGATTTTATTTCAGCGTCTTTAGTAGTCCAAGGTTCGACGCCAATAAGTCAAATCGGCGCCGGATTGATCTCAAATGATTCATTTACAGGTGAGCTATGAACCGTTGACAATTATAAATTGAATACAGAAATAACTTTATTATACATAATAAAAAAATATTTAGTTAAAAAGAAAGTCCCCATACACTCATTTCTCATTCGCTCGTACGGTCGAGGAAAAATATCAAAAAAGTCGACGGCGACTGACAGGTACAGAAGGCTTATCACCTATTAAGAATAAATATTACGAAAATAGAAGCAGATCTCTGTGTTCCAAGGGTTTGAGCGCCGCTGTTTTGTTTATCGTCCAAGATAAAAAGTACAAATGAATATTAAAATCTATCAATTAATAATTCCAGGTGCGAACTCAAACAACTCGTGCTCGTCCGTATCGGGCTCTCCCCCACCCGAGGAGGAAGGGGAGGAAGGTGGCAAGAGGGGGGTGCTCCCCAGGCACGCCACGCAGGTTATGCGCGCTTGGCTGTTTCAACACCTTGTGGTATGTAAATTCCTTATAAAAACACTTGTGTACAATTGCGCACCTGCGTATAATAATAATGATGACAAATGACACGTTCTAAGGTGTGATGTAACACCTAACGTGATAGATAACATGCATTTGTCCCAATTTTAGATTATTTATGTTTAAAAAAAGTAAATTTATTAATAAGATTTTATATCACAACCTTTTGATATTCAAAAATAATAAAATTATTATCATTTGATAATAACCAACCATAAAAAATATTATCAAATACCCTCCTCACAAGAAAAACATTATCAAATACCCTCCTATCGCTTGCTCACAGCTGAGCTTCGTGATGCTTCCAACCCTTCCAAAGCCGCTGCTTCCATCTCTGACCAGCTTGGTGTATGGCATCTGAGACTATAGGTCCATCTTATTAGGCTTGCGTTTACCCTTTCCATTTTCCCGGTCATTATAAGTTTTTCAAGGGAAATCAAATACCCTTAATTACTGTACATACTTGGTGTATTCGGGTATATATTTTTCTTTTCTTTTCTTTTTATAGCATCCGTACCCAACCGAAGAGGAGAAACGCACGTTGGCCGCCCAAACGCGGCTCACGTTGTTACAAGTTAACAATTGGTTCATCAACGCGCGACGACGTATACTCCAACCAATGTTGGACTGTTCTGATAAACCAGGTAAGAATGAGGTTAAAGTTTAGAATTTAAGTTAGATTTTTGAAGTGAAACTTATTTAGGCGCATGAGGGTAATTTTTTTTAAAAACGTCACGAATATGTGCAGCGTTTTTGTCGAAGAAAAGGGAAGATTGAGAGAGAGTGAGAAGGGCGAATTTCGTGAAGAGAATTTATGATATATTAGTATTTTATATTTTATGCAAAATAATTTATTGAAATCTCAAATTGTAAATTAAAATGCCACGTGTGTGTATTATCGAAGAAATAAATTAAAAAATTAAATTCGGAAATCTTAAGTTTATTTGTATAAATATTAACAAGACTTAAAAATTAGTTTGCCAAAGAAGTTTCACTTCTGATATGTGTTCTGAGTACGCACTTTTTTTATGTAACAGGAGACAAACGGGCATTAGGCTCACCTGATGTTAAGTGATATCGGTGCCCATGGGCACTCACATTACCAGAAGGCTCGCAAGTGCGTTACCGGCAATTGGTACGCTCTTTTCTTGAATTGGTTCGAAAATACTTCGGTGGGCAGCTGGTTATATCCACCTGTAGGTCCGTCCATAGATCGATTTTAATATTTCAAAAATGAGTTATGGTATTTCAGAATATGTAATACAAATACAAGAATTACACATAAAGAACGTTTTGTACGTTCAGATACAGAGATACAATTGTATGTGTAATTATTTTGAAAATATTGCTCTCTGAAAACTCCTAAACGTCAATTTTTACGATAAAAGTCATGTATTATAAAAGTCAAAAATCATTTATTCATATAGGTAACACAATGTACACTTATGAACGTCAATAAAGAAATATACATGAAATGCTTCTAATTTTACATTTACTGCCAGTTCTCAAATCAAGGGCGTAGAACGGAAGAGAAGAACTGGTAATAAACTCTCCGCTATTCTTTTTAATCGCCAAGTTTTTTTTTACACAACGTTTGTAAGTATATACAAACCAATATTCAATAACTTTCTCTTGAATAAATAATTGTATGTCTGTTTACAGGTGGTAAAAAGAGCAAAAACGGCTCGTCGATAAGCAAAAGGTATTGGCCAGATGCGCTCACAAATCCACAGTTCACTGCTGGTTAGTCCTTTATATATTCATAATTTTTTATTTTGAGTTATAATTAATATATGAGGAGTTTTGGCTTATTGGCGTGTTTTTGGGAATAAATAAATTATAATTATGAATTTCACAGTGTTACGTTACGTGTTTACTTTAAAAAAAGAAAATTTTATTAATCGCACGGTAATTACATAAATATTTTATATTCGAAGTAAATTTTTATAATTATTAGTTAACATTTATTATATTAATAATATATTTAAAATCTTTACAAATGTTGAATGCAGTACAGTTTATATATATATATACAGTTTCTATTTGTTATATACATATTTTTCTTGTTACTCGATATCCTAATTTTCTTCAGTACCATAGATCAGAACACCTACGCAGATACCCCTCCTCCAGCATCCAATTTTCTCTATCGATGGCTTTCTCTCTCCATTCGCTTCCTGCTAATGCTTCTATATCTTTTATCCAAATTTATTCCAATCCATCTTTAATATGTGCTTGCTATATGCCTCGCCCTTATTTTTTATCAGTTTTATCTTTCTATCTACATTTGTTTTGCAACTTCCTAGTAAATTCGAATCACTCCGAAATAGAACAGAAATGTATGTATATGTTGTGTTATGTTTCCAGGTCTCCTTTCATCATCAGAGGATGAAGAGCAGGAAGGTGATCAGTCTGGTGATGAGCAGGAGCCGGTGAACGAACAGACTAATGAACATTATTCGCCATTACAGCAGACAATGCACTAAGGTAAGCTCAGATTTAATTAGACTATTTTTTGTTAAATGTAATTAAAATTTCCCGCCTTAATAGAATATCATTGTCTATGTTAACTTAAAATGGCTCTCCCGCTCTCGGATGCCCTCTCTCTCACACACTCTGTTCCTCCAAGTATTAAATAAAAGCTCAATTATATAAGCCCCTTTTTTTTCTTAAATTTTGATGAGATTAAGCGTTACACGTCAGTGAGTCTCACTATTTTTAAATTAATTATCACTTTGTTACTTAAATTATAACGAATTTATTAAAATTCTATTCACTATTCTAAGTTAAATTTTACAAATTAATTACTAAACTTCAGAGCAGTAATAACTAACCTAATTTACCAACAAATAACGGCTAATTTAATTAACTGAATTATAATTCATAAAAAGTATATTAGGGAGCGTTCCAGTATTACGTCACACAATTTTTGGAGATTATTGACCCGCCCCCCCATGTAACGCGCCGTAACGTTTTTACCCAAGTACAGGTAAACGTTTCGTGACCACCTAGTGACTCTTTTTACCTAAAAGTACTGGAAAGCCGAAAATAATATAACGATAACGGCTTAATTCAATCCCCGCCCCACATCGTAATGTTTTACAAAAGGACGTCCCCCCCAAAATTCGTTACGTAATACTTGAACGCTCCCTCACTTGCACTTTAACTAAAGGAATCTTTCGTCTCGTCCTATCAAACGTGTTTACGCTGTAATAGAAAGAGACAGAATATTAGTAGTAGCATTTTAGTTTTTGTAATCTTTAAATAATATTTAATTTTTTTCAGGGCAATAATTGACAGTGAACGTCAAAAAAGACATACTGTGTATACCATAGATTATAAGTTAGAACCATGTATACGTACGCCATACCTCACTATTTTAATATGTTTGTATGTACTTATATTTTAAATGGACGTTTTAAAACATATGAGGCTAACGTCATATAAGTGTTATTGTCACGATTAAATAGATCCAGTTTTGATAATATATAAAAATCTGTTTAAAAACTACTTAAATTAAAATGTCCATTTAACCGTTGATTAATTTAAACAATTATATGGCAACACCAGACCTTTGGCATTCTCAACTCATTCTTAAAATATTTTCATTCGTATGCAAATGACACATTGAACAAGGAAACGATTATATTTGTAAATTGTCAACGGAAAAGTCTTTTAGTCACCTATTTAATAACTGGTGTTGCCATGCAAAAATACACCCAGTGTTTCATTGCGTTGATTCAATCATGCTTTGTATCATGTATCGTCAATTTTTACACCGGTTGTGAATAATAGTTTTAGTTTTCTTCCACGATTTCGACTGAAACATGTAATAGTGATAAATAATATTTTTTACCACAGAACTAGACAATACCGTCCATAGACAAATCGTATTTATTTGTACAAATAAGTTTTTATATACTCATAATTCTTTTTAGTTACGAGCCATATTAGGATATACGAGTAATTATACGAAATGCAAATGTATACCCATTACACTGTATACGTTAAAATATCGACAAAATTTTAAATTTAGAATTAAATTTTAAAGTCATGACAGTATTCGATAGGTTATAAACGTAGGCATAGAGGATAGAATGACTCAAAATTCGAAATTTAAAATTCAAATGACAAGTATATTTAATAGGTACGAAAAATATTTTGAAGAAAGGTTTCTACTTAGCTGTACTGATCACTTAATGAATCCGGCTAATCTGCCAACTATTTAAATATGTACCTACCTACCTATATTTTCCTTGTATATAGTTAAATCTGATGACCGAGCCGTAGTCTCTCTATCTATTTCAGTGTTTCCCAACCTTAATTATGCCATGCCCCTCTTAGCCTACCTAAAATTCTTATGACCCGTTATTTAACATACATAAGTTATATATTTAAAAAAAATGTTTACTTAAGAAATTTAAATGATAGGTTTTAGGATGAAAACACTAGGAAATTGTTAACGAAACAATAAGTAAATTTTTAAAACAATGAAATATTCAAAATAATTTTAATAAAGATTTTTCTGTATTAAGTGAGGCCCTTGCGCTTAATATTGCTGCCCAATTAGGTTCCAACTTGGTTAGCTTCAGTCTCTTCCACGTTGTGATGACCACAACTGATTTCGATTACCCCGTGGCGTGGGCCTCACGTTGGGAAACACTGATTTGGTCCAAATTTCTACCCACTTTTAAACAATTATCTCTTAGAGACTTGACAATGTCATAATACTATTCTCTATTTCTATGTTCAACAGCGATTTCAAGTATTTTAGGATGTAATTAAAATTATTAATAGGACCGCGTCGCGAAATTTTAATACTGTGGTGGAAGCAATAATTTTTCAATGCCACAGATATGTATACTGAATTAGTTATCTTCAATAAGCTTTGATCTTCCATTATTTTAAAAGTTAGCGTAAGAGAGATATTTTGTTATATGATTAGAGCGTTCGCATATTTGGAACCCGCGGTTTGGACGAACACAACTAAACCACACACATCTCACTGATGTCTTTTTTCAATACAGGATGAATACGAGTTGACAGAAAGAGACAAATATAAGTGTATAAGAACCATATTACGCCTTGACCACCCTAAAGTTACTAGGCCATGAGTCTGCTGTTTTAATTGAATTTTCACAATAATCAATACACACACAAGAATATCATAGGAAATCAAAGTTGTTTAGTAATTATTTAATTTGTTTAATTACGAATACTAATCAAGTCCTTCGTATTCCTTCCAATTGAAATAGTAAACTCTGGGCCTCGGGCAAATCATTTAAATCGGTTGATTCGAAAAAAACAACCCCTTCACTCAACTAAAGGTAATAATTTCGTTCACGTGCACGTATCCCTCAAGCACGTATACGCATTGTTGCGTACTCAGTAACGTATACGCTCGTGTGTTGGACAGCTATAGGTAATGAGTTTTATATTAAAGAACGAGCCGTTATCGTTAAAGTTATAAATATGCGAACATTTGCTTATTGGAATTGGTTAAACGTGATTTAAGCTGTGACTCTTTTTAGCGTGTAAGCTTAACTGACATTTGTACTATACTGAAGTCTTATACTGAGTAGTGAGAAAGTCATAAATAAGTGGGTTCTATGTACGTGAGGTGAGAAAAATATCACAGTGAATGAAGATGTCTGCTTGAGGCTTCGTTTAAGTTTGAAGCTTTCTTGTGCAAAGACTTTTCGGTGCCATTTCTTTTGCAATTGTTTTCGTTATATTCTTTGATGCGTTTTGTAAATACAAATTTGTCTAAATTATTCTTGAATGTTATTTTAAACGTATTGTTTGTCTTGAAATGTGAAAAAAATACATTATACCTTAGATATAGAGAATGTACTTACGATATGACTTATTTCAGCTGTGCACGCAGTTTGACGTATACACACAAATTTATGCACGTACATGATACTTTGAAAAGTTTTTTTCCTAAGTATGCACAGCCGAGAGAATGTTTAAAATAAATAAAAGCTTATGTTCAATGGTTTGAAGTATTTTCTTGTAGACTGATTTTTTTGAAATATTTGACATTTAGTTATAGATTAAGTTTAAGTCATCATCATATAATGCCTCATTAATCTTCTCTATATCTTTGGTCTATGGTATTAAACCACAGATTATTGTTTTAAAATCTTAGATGATAATGTAATCTGTTATACGAAGCAACGGATATACGTAAAAAATTGTGAGATAAAAATTTTTATAAACTTTTAATTCGATTGTACCTATCTTTAGTATATATAAAAAATGTATTTTTAAACTATTTTAATCAATAATGTTTTATTCTAAGAAAAGTCCGATCTAGTATACTGTAGGTTAATGCTTGTTTAGACATTTTATAGTTTTTTCAAACTTTTAACAACTTTCGAAACTTTGAAATTATTTGGATAAGATGTAAAAAGTTATTCCTTTGTCTGAACCATTTAAAAGTTCGGTTTTATTCGTTTCAAATTGAGTTGTTATAAGTTTGATTGAACTAAATTAGGCTCAGTGATATTGATAGATGAATCATAATACTATCAGATTATCATTTAAAATATAAATTTTGTTTGTTGGATAATATATCTTTTGAAAATATGAATTAATTTCCCAATAAAAAAAATAAGTTCTTTACCTAAGTAATTTCGTTTCCCGTCGAAACAATAATTGTTACGGGTTAGAAGCTAATCTAATCAAAATGTGTCTGTTATATATGCTCCAACGCAATAACTGATTGTTTGAGAATTGAAATATTTTTGTTAGATTTAAAATCTACCATTATTTGTATAGTATTGTGATTGTCTATGGCTAGAGTAAAAGTTGATTAATGTATAAATATCGCATAATGTTTTACTAGTCAATAACGCTATGTACTTTTGTACTTCTATGAAATGCCTAAATTGTAAGATTTGTCAGAATTGCCGATGAAAATGTCGTTAATAAATTAAAAATTACACCAATTTTGACAAATCCTATGTACTGTACAGTTTGCTGAAAATATAATCGTTTTCGCATGCCTACGTTTTTTTTTATTTACCTGCCCAAAAAATTCAAGGCCCCAAATGAACACATTGTCTATGATACACTGGCTTATCTGTGCGGTCTACTACGGTTAACTTTGCCACTATTAAAACGAGTAATATGTAGGTAAAATATTTATTTTTACTTGGAACAAAAAAAAAATCAAATTCACTACTAAAATATAATATATAAAATATCTTTAGAATTTTTTAAACAACGCTCTTTTATATATATTAAGTATAGATTCTCTCTCTCTTCAGTCAGTGGCTCGTGTCTGACCGTCGTGGTCAGCAAGGAAACATGGAGCGGACAATCTGTTTCCACCGGTTTCTGCCCAACGCCTCTCTTATAAATGTGGAAAGTTTTGAGGACGATGAGTCTTTCACTTATTCGGTCCATCTGGTTGGTGAACGGCCACATCTTTTGCCTTATCTGTTACCAACCACGATCAGTTTCCGATATAGGTGTCGCAGAAATAAGATGTAATTTGGCGTATGGTAGATAGGCCAGTCCGTATGCGGACTTGGGTCAGGCTCGATATATTGGTGCGCTTCGCAGTCAACGGTATAGATTCCTAATTGACTAAATGCAAGAATTTAATTACTTGTAAATAAAAAACAAGTTCCACTTAATATTTTATTATAAACGAAGTTGGATACAAAAGTGTAAATTATTTACAATATTAGTCCTTACGCCCATCCGATAAAGTTCATAATGGAATGTATTACTAAGTCTTCGGCTTTAAAGCTAATTAAAATTGAGCTTCTTTTCATTATTACATACAAACATTCAACACACATTCATTGAGCAATTTGTGACAACAGTGGTTGATTCATCAATCGTTTAAGAAATCTATATCAATCAATTATTATACGATATAATAATTATCATCCCACGTTTTAGATTTGATTACTGGGAAAACAGCGTCGTTTCGAAACAGAACACACAGTTACGCTGCTAAGACAATGAACATTATAACGAGATTTAGAAATAAGTATTTGGTGATCAAAATCTATCTATATTATCGTAATTAACCATAGAATATGATTAGACTCTGTATTAATTTTTTATTGAATAATTTCGTCATCATACGATGTTTACGTGTTTGATAAATCAACCATTATTCGCAAATATAGGAAATAATTATAACAAGACAAGATATGAGATTCGAGTGCATATAATAGTTTAAAAACATTTGTGACATGGTTTATATAAATCGTCTAAAATACTAACTGGAATACACTGGCAATAGGCTTGGACGATTATTCAAGGAGGCAAGAATAATTTAATTAATATATATATAAGAATAGACAGTTTTCAAAGATTGGTCCGAGAACCACAGATTATCTTCGCCTTTTAAATTGGCGGGAATTTTAGAGGACTCCCAAATTATCTTTCTGTGGTCTGCTTTTACGATCTCTTACGAAGTCTTATATTATTTACTAACTATATTAATCCAAAATAAAATTCTTATATTAATCATTCGGTATATTATTTAGGTAACATTTAATTAATGTGTAGAGGGAAAAACTAATAAAGTTACAATTCTTTCTCCAAAATTAATTTATTAGTTTTGTCCCTATACTATAATACGTATTAAAATATAAAATTCAATGTCCCAAAATATTTAAATAAAATTTCATTTATGGTAACAATTAATGGCAATTAAATTGCATATAATTTCTAATCCCATATCGTATATATTAAACAGTTAAGTACAATAGGTATATAATCTTCCTTATACCGCGGGCACAGACAATATCTTCTAGAACTAGACATCCATCACCAAAATTTTTAAGTTGGTAACCCTGCAATGTTAATTTTTGCGTGGTAAATTGATTACCTGTTTTGGTAGGTAGGTAGGTAGGTATATATGGTATGAACCAAATATCGTATCGATAGTAGATCCTAATCTGTCGAGCTAAATGTTTATATTCATTATGCAGCGTTACCACAATACTTAAATATGTACAGGACTAGTATAAAATAACTATTCCTCTAAAAATGATTTGGATTTTTAATGTTGGTAACATCACAGGAAATTCTGTTACAGATAATATTTTACACCTATATATAATTGTCAAACTTTGAATGTTAAATTACGATTGTTATTAAATCCCAAATTATACTTTAAAGTTTGACAATTATTGAACTTTTGTACATACAAAGTTATTGTCATATTGTTTTTATTTTAAGAGGTTTGTTTGGACTTACACCGACTGTTATAGTTCGTAATATGAGAAACAATAAAAAAGTAAGTAGTGTTCATTTTAAAGTTGACATTTATAGAAAATAATTCTACCTACGCTGTAGGTCCAAAATCTTATGTTGGCCCCTATTTCCAAGATATTCCAAGAAAAAAGAATAATTTTCAGCAAAGGATTTCCATTTCAAAATTCTTTATATTGCTAATTGAACTCAAACGTATTTCAAATTACGTACATATTCGCAAAGGTGTTCAAACGACGTTAAGAGTTATGACTTTGACATGTAGAAGGGTTGTTTAAAATAAATAATTGACTTTAGTGTCAAAGGTTGTTTTTTAAGGCACTGAGTTTAATATATAAGATAGAAAAGGGCCATTTACATACTATTAACTAATCTAAGGCCAGACTACTGTTGAGCAAGCTATATTAAAAACTAGTCGATTCCTTTAAAATCGGAATCTGTTCAGTCAGTGAGGTAATTCACTTTTCACGCTTTTTATTCGCCACTGAGGTTTTAAGATTTCCATGGAGTGTCACAACTGTGTTACCATTAGCAAATAATTAATTTAAAAAAAATTGTTTCACTAATGTGAAATTAAAATAAACAAATCAAAGGTGAAGCTTTTTGATCTAAACATATTTTTCGTAACATTGCAAGAATAATGACACATATTAGGGTCAACTTCAGACTCGAGAAAGTATCAAATTGAATAAATTTATGACATACTTAGTGCTAAGACACAACTGCAAATTATCCTTAGACCAATAAGTCGACGTGTGTCAAAAAAGGTCAATCACTACTCAATACTTGCCTTTAAAAGAAAAATTATCAAAGAAGCAGATATAACGATATAACACCTACATTTTTGACACACCGTAACAATTAGATGAACTACGACAAAACGTCCTTTTTCTCAATAAATAAGTGTGTTCATCTACAAAAATCTTTCAACTCCTCACTCAGTGGCCCAAAAGCGACCTCACTTCAAACTCTCCGGTATTTTAAAAACACTATATCGCCTATGTTCAGATAAAATAAAGGCATTATCTGCCCGTATTAACGACTCCCGCTCGGCCTCATTAAAATTACTCTTGACAAAATCCCTATTCAATATGCTCTTTAACTCATCCATACTTTGACTTAAATTTTCCGATTTATCAATATAAGTTAACTCTTGTAGCGTTTCTTCACCGCTACTTGTTGTTGAAGTTGACTTTCGTAAGGGTTGATACGACGTTTCCTTGTGATTTAATAGTTTTGATCCGTTAATGATCAAAGTTGAGCCACGGCGAAGAGTTTCGCGCCCAAGTTCGACTATTTCGATCGAGTTTTGGCCTATTACGAATTTCTTGTAGGCTTTTATAAAGACGTAGATTATGAGAAGTATTCCGCATATTATTAGAGAGTAGGATACGATGGGAGCGAAGACTGGACCAAATGCAGTGGCGAGGAATATCAAACGCCATATTGGTGTTGTTACTTCTTCGATGCCCTGAAAAGTATTTTTCGGATTAAAAACTAGATCAAGCTAAAAGACAACTGGGTATGCTTTTATATCAAAATGTTTGTGTCAAATTCTGTTCGTGCTATGTTAAATAATAATTCAGAGTAATAATTATACTATTTATTTAATGATTCGTTCTATTGTGCACATATATAAAAAAACATTCACGAGTGACTTTCGATCCTTGATATCCAACGAGTGATTGAACCTTTATCAAATTTTTTTACCAATATAATGCTACATTATACAGTACGTATAGTAACAGAGGCTAAATACAATAAAGAAAGGGAAAAAAATAATAATTTCCTTTTGAGAGCTGTCCTCGGTGTGGTTGTGTCTTAAAAAGGATCTCAGGTACTACCGGTTTGAATTGAGAAATTATTTTTGTATTGAAAGTTTGGGCAAATTACAAATACGCGGGTACAACCAGTCACTCAAAACATTACAAATAAACTAAAGTGACAAACATTATTTAATATACCGTTTCGTATTATAAAATACTTTTTCCTACCTCTTGGAGCCACATCACCGGGAACACCATGTCAGGAAACTTGTGAATGTTGTTCACGCGAATATTTGAAGCGCTATCCACTTTCAAATTTAGCTGCACGCGAATTTGACCCTCAAGTGGAACTCCGATTTTCTGTGAAACATTAACTATTTAGACAATTGTTACGATGTATGTTAACAAATACGGAGTGAGAGAATGTTAATGATAGACGAAGAACGTGTGTTTGTGATTCAACAAAGGGACTCAAACTCAAACTCAAAATAACTTAAACAAAAGAACAGAAAAGAAGTTAAATTGATACTAAATTTACATTTACTACCAGTTCGCAAGTCAAGGGCGTAGAGCGGGCAAGAGAGACTAATAAATCGTTTTACTAAGAGATTTAATAATAATAATTACATATGTTAAAATGAGGATAATTTAATACTCATGAAAATATGTTATAGAAAGGAAATATACGTGTGAAAATGACATGAGAACTTAAGGCGCAACGCTAACCAGATCCATGCAACTCCTTTACAATCGAGTAGCCCGCAATATCGCACGAGGGGAGTTTTTGTATCGAAGAACTCTAACTCCCTAACTAAAAAACTCTAACTCTAGGTCTAAGCATCAAGGAATATACAGTGTAAATACAAAAATAACAATTGGGTAGAAAAAGTCAATAATAGTAACTCATTAACAATGCATTTGACGAATCATAATGTGTCGTTTTACATTTTCACTTCCCAGATAGTCCTAATTTCAGTACCGGTGACCTTACGTTGAGCCAGGAGCTGGTGCTTGCCTGGCTCAACGAATAAGTATCGCAATACAGGAAATTCTGCCAGCGTTAAAGGTACACTGCCACAAAAGTCAAAATCATTTATTCATATAGGTAACAATGTACACTTATGAACGTCAAAAAAGAAATACACCTTAAATTCTTTTAATTTTACATTTACTGCCAGTTCTCAAATCATGGGCGTAGTTCGGAAGAGAAGAACTGGCAATAAACTCTCCGCCACTCCTTTTAATCGCCAAGTTTTTTCTTTTACACAACGTAAGGAGCTGCAACCATTACACCATGTTCCATATGATATCAACAATTACTTAATAATTAATAATAATAACATAAATTAAAAACAAAGATTTGTCTTCTATAAGCAGGAGGCCTGGTGAAATGTGTACACACAGGGACCAAAATTTGTTTCAATTTTCTTTTTAATAATTTTTACTATTACTTTGTAGGTTAAGAAAATTATTTCATAAAGTAATTTTTAATATTAAGGTGAGACATAGTCATAAAGTTTAAGTTACTTGAAATAATCTATCGAATAACAAAATTGGAAAAGATTGCTCATGAGCGAAAATACATCTATTTATATCATGATAAATGATTTGTAATATCCTATATCTTATTCTAAACGATTTCATTTGTTGTTCTTTGTAAACTTACAGGCTGTATCAAGAAGTAGCTTTCATGTTTTTCCTTATCTGGTGAAAGACCTTCCACCGCCTCAAGTAGACTTGGATCAGCATCATAGAAGTGGGGATATGATAGGTATACTGGTGCATCTGAAATTTAAAAATTGCACATTGTTATTTTAACTGTATCAGTCTTCAACGCTCTATAAACGTGGTATTTTTTTTAAATTTTCAACTCCACAAGCCTAATACAGACAACATTTTTTTCAGTTGTTTATAAACATATAAATTTTCCAGTGTGTTAATTTATTATTATATAAGTAAGTAAGTAATTACTTTTATATTATCTCATTCGGTAATATTCTAATTATGAAATGAAATACAGACTTTTATTGGCATATTTTATTTACATACGTCTTTAAGAAAATTAAAATGATAAATTAAAGCATGATTCTCCTAACAAAATAATGCTTTAAAAAAATTTTTTACTTATTAAAGTACAATGTGTCCCGACCAAGGAGGTTTCAATTCAATGTGTACTTAACACATTCTCTGTGGTGAGCGCGCTGCGCGCTCTATTCGCTAGTTCCGAGCCAATAGACCAATAACAGACATTGACAACTCGCCTGGGGCTCGTTTCAAAAAACTACACTTATGTTTTAATACTCTCTATTATATGATAGTTGCATAAACTACTATAATTAATTGCACATTTTATAGTTAAACCATTAAATGAGGTCTATCATAGAAAATGTGCTGCAATTTTAGAATTTATTCATGCATAAGCTTATATTTGTTACGTAAACTGTAGTACTGTATTAGTCCGACAGACCGTTAAGTTTCCATTAAAAAAGTTAACGGATCAAATATGTAAAATATACTTTGAAAATACGTACTGTATTGACAAGGACTGATGTTCTGCAGTCCCCGTTTGGGGCATTGATTTCCATCGCAGTAGCATCTGTTGTCTGGGTTGAGTTCCGCACTCTCTAGCGTTGACTCTGGGGGTGTGTATAAAGCTACTTTGATACCTGAAAATAATAGTGGCGATTAAAAATATATATTTAACATGGTGTTTCTATATTGTATCATATGAAAACCAAGATTTTTGTTTACAAACCGATAGAATATCGTGTCTAAGACAATAGGAAAAATATTTCAATTCAAATTTGAAAATACTTGAGGTCGTGCTTCGATAACTAGCTGTACCCTAATTTTTCTGTATATGTGCGCAAATCAAGATAGTATAGGCCCATTGAAAACCAATGTTGCTGATGACAACTTAAAGCTGATTTGGATCGATTTTTGGCTATAATTATTATTTGTATTTGTTATTTTTTGTCATACAATGGAAAATTTAAATTAAGATTTCAAAACGTCAAAGACTTAATTGACAATGTCAGGCACAGAAGTACACTATAAAGAAAAATGAACAAGGAACAGAATTCTGCCAATGCTTTATATGTTTTTGCTTTAGCTTTGCTTGGTGTCGCTTATAAAACATATCTACTCACCGTCTTTATACGTATCTTTACGGTACTTCATGGGTAGGATTCGGCACAGATCTTTGTCGTAAATATAAACGATGTCTTCTTTAGTGACTGACCGAGGGGGGAAGAAAGATCCTTCAGATGCCCTGAAAGTTTGCTTGAATTAAAAAAAATACACTAGAATTTGGTTTAAATATAAATTTAATAGCTATTTATTATCGTCCAGTGTTGGCCTAGTAGCTTCAGCGTGCGACTCTCATCACTGAGGTCGTAGGTTCGATCCCCGGCCCTGCATCAATGGACTTTCTTTTTATGTGCGCATTTAAACTCTCGAATGGAGAAGGAAAACATCGTGAGGAAACCGGCTTGCTTTAGACCCAAAAAGTCGACGTGTAGCAGGCACAGGAGGCTGATCTACTTGTCATGAAACAGAATGAAACAGAATCCAGAAATCTAAGACCTAAAATGGTAGCGCCACTGTTTATATCTAATAGGCAAGTGATATTTTTCATAAAAGATCAGTAAATCTGAGGCCTAGACCTAAAGAGTTTGAAGCGGCATTTATTTATTATCGTCCTTACTCCGTAACGTCGAATAGAAACTTCAAGTTCCAATTAAGTTATTAAGTTAGAGATTGCTATCGCTCTTGGCAGTTACACGCAGCCTACCAAAGGCATATACTTATTACTTATAAGAAATATTTTAATATTAAACTACTTTGGTGCTATATATACAAATACCTATATAGATAAATAATATATATATATATATATATATATATATATATATATGTAGATTTTATTTATAAGTCTTTAAACCAAAGTACTCTTCTAGCTTTTTCTGACAATTTCCGTTGTGCTCACACAGGCTTTTTTAGTTAAAACTGACGATTTAATCATCGGAATCAAACCCCAGTATATCCAGAAGCAGGCACGCTCTTCAGCATTATAATCTTTGCATCTCTCTTTAATCGGCAGCTCATGTCTGAGCGTCGTGGTCAGCAAGAAAGAGCTGGAGCTATCTGTTTCCACCGGTTCCTGTCCAGTGCGTCCCTTATGACAGTGTACAGTTTTGAGGACGATGAGTCTTTCACTTGTTCGGTCCACCTGGTTGGTGAATGGCCACGTCTTCTGTGTTACCACGATCAGTTTCTCCAAGTTCTCATCGCCTCTACGCATAGCATTCAATTCATATAATTTATTCGTTTGTTATGAGTCATTAACATTGAGTCAAAAATTGAAAAGGATTCCGTTGACCCAGGAACCGTACAACTACAATGAGTACTTGAAAACGTCGCATTAAAGCCGTTTTAGGTTTCATAAAGGGCTGAATTATTAAATGTTTGTTCGTATGTTTAGTCCTCGTTTTTTCTATTATTTTAAAGTTGTGGTATCTGGCAGAATGACCAGCGCTGTGAAACACGTCTGCTCCACAGCATAATGCTGACCTAGGGCCAGTTACAACCACAACACACACACATTACACACATAAAATGTACCTTATTCCTCAAACAAAATTTTTTGGTTATTTATCTTTCTTTTTTATGATTATTATTATTATTATTTTGTGTGTGTTAGTAATAAATGTTATGTCAATGTCTACGTTTAAGAAGTGTTTAAGTTTTTTCCTGTCCTTCATTTATTTTGTAATTTTACAGCTAACATAAACAAAAAACAATTATACTTAAGATTAAGCCAAAGATGGAATACATCTAATATATAAAATTCTCGTGTCGCGGTGTTTGTAGTTAAACTCCTCCGAAACGGCTTGACCGATTCTCATGAAATTTTGTGTGCATATTGGTTATGTCTGAGAATCGGTAAAACATCTATTTTTCATCCCCCTAAATGTTAAGGGTAGTCCACCCCAATTTTTTTTTTTAGATAATTTTTTTTATTAAAAAACACATACAACCCCTAATTTTCACCCCTCTACGATCAACCCCTATTTTTTATTATAAATGATATACATGGCAAAACGAATTTGCCAGGTCAGCTAGTAATATACATACAAAAAGATTCGAACATTACGAAAGGAAAAAATCAATAAAATTATTGAATACATTTAACTAAGTAATACATATTCGCCTGTGTTGGTGTGAAAGTGAGCGTATGTGCGTGAAGGTTGTATGTGTATCCTTTCATATTTCCAATAATAATAATTTAGTAGTAAAACCTCGTTAAGTCGACCCTCGATAAGTCAAAAACCTCCAAATCTCGAAAAAATGTTTTGTTCCCTTCCCTTAAAACACCAAAACCTCCATTACTTGAAATCTTGACCCTCTGTTAATCGAAATAATCACCGAGTCCCTCCAAGCCATTTTGGTACATATTTTCACTCTATAACTCGAAAAATTAAATTTGACCTCTGTATCTCGAACATAGGAACGTTTTATTTTACAACCTTTACAACTTGATCATTTGGAATTTATTATCTCTATTGTTCGAACAAAAATAAGTTACCGACTTTAAGAACTTGTCGCCAATATGAGTACACTATTGTTTCTTAGAAAACATTTTAGGAGTATACAATAATAAACTCTTTATGTCGAATCAAAATCCGCCTAAGTCGAAATCCTCCATAAGTTGAAAACTCTATAACTCGAATTTTTTGGCGTCTCCCTTGATGTTCGACTTATAGAGGTTCTACGTATATAGAATAAGTTTTAACATCATTTTTAGAAACATTCACCGTACGCCATGTACGGTCCTTTGGGTTTTCCCCCACATCTTTCTTATTTATCACTTTTCGTACGTTGACTGGTCATTCACCTCCTAAGTCTGGTTTTGCAGTTATAAAACCAAATTGTATGAATCGAATATTATTGTATCGATAATTGACGTCAATTGGGACCTTCTTTACGTAATCCAGCTGAGACTCAAGGCGGAAACACATCATTAAAACGCTTCGCGACCCGACGCAACGCGACGCGTGTTGACTGTTGAGTCGAATCAAATTGTACTATTTTCTATGATGATTGATGAATCACACTTTGAACATCCGACGCAGCGTTGCCAGATTTCTTTTTAGTCAAGTCGGGATTTTGGCACTTTTAAAGTGAAAAAAGCGGGATTCATTTGTCGAAAGCGGGACATTTAAAATTTTAAGTAGTCAGAAGTTTTTAAATATTTATGTTTTTAATTGAGTTCAAATCACGTTTGCGTGACAATAAACAGCGAAAATAGTCGCAGAAAATGTATTTAAATCAGATTAAACCTATCGTTAAATAGTTTTTATTCATCTTCTGATTAAAAAACTAAAAATCAAAATAAAAAAAGTTTTATTTATTAGAAAAATATAGCGTTTCAAACAATACTCTGAAGAGTGAGTGTTTCAAATTGCAATAACTTTGCAATAAATTACTTATTCATAATATTTCTATGAAGATATAACTTATAACGTTTCATTTTTCTCTTTAAAAAAGACGAAGAATTCTTCACAGGATAGCTGCAGATTAAACTCTGATTTCATTAAATTTACGAAGCATTTCAAAAAGAAGGCGTTTTGGAAAGCAGTTTGATGGTAGGATACTTAATATAAAGTTTGAATATAATACTGGTATTTTTTTTGGATACTGTTGAAAGAGTTGGTACCATTATTGTGCGGTGGTGGTAGTACACACTACTTATTGCCATCGAGTTATTCCCGAAAAGCGGGACTAAGCCTGTCCCGCGCGGGACATTTCATTTTGATTTAAAAATCGGGACGTCCCGCCAAAATCGGGAGGTCTGGCAACTGATCCGACGCGACCCCATGCGCGCACACGCCACCCGATCATGACATTCCAGATAGATGTGTTATCAATGGTGGGGGTAAACACGCCGACGCCTCGCGCGCATGAACTTCTTAAAAACACCAGACCCCACGCATCAGTCGTTCGAGTTTTTCGCACGAATGTCACATACACATTATGACATCAGAAGAAGAATATACAGAAGTAGAAATTGAACAGTCGCAGAATGAAAAGTACAGTTTGAAAGCATTTTCTTCGGCCTTATATAGTAGCAGATGTACCCAAAATGTGCATCAAATCTTCTATCTTCTATCTATCTGACTCCATATTAAATCCATAGCACACGACTATACACCTTCACTATTGTCAGCTAAATGAATTATGAATTTGCAAGCGTGTCGTGGTGTCGCGTGTTGGTAATGTGCACGATGGACATCGGGTGTCGACACGTTGCGTTGCGTGGCGTTTTAATAATGTGTTTCCGCCTTTAATTTTACTGTTCGAAATCGAATCTAGGACTAAATACCTTGAATAACCTTCAACTATTATCATTCGTTCTTTAGACAAGCTAAATTGAGTAATTCTACAGTTTTTTTTGTTACGCATTCCTTCCCTAGTATCGAAGCCTGGAAGAGATCACTTGCACTTCTACTAACTTCAGTTACCTGATTGTTTTGTTGTTTTTTTTCTTTTAAAATGTACCACGGAGATGCCATGTTTCATGCAATTTCAAGATACGGAATAAAATCATTATCATTACCCAAAATAAAATATTATTATCTTGTAAAATATAAAGTTATCTACAGTATTAAAATATTAATAATTTATCATTAAAATATTACCATGGATTTTATATTTTTTTATGAAAAGCATAGATGCAGAAACTTTTGTTTAATAAGAAAATGACTAATAGTCAATGTTAGTCTTAAATAAATAAAAATTAAGGAAAACAAATAAACGACCATGTCGGAAGTATATTTCCTTTTGCGTTTGTTTAAACTTGACTCACTAAGACTCTTAAGCTATTTTCGTTTATTATTTAAAAAATAACAAATGATAAAAGTTTCAACACATTAAAGTTCTTTTTTGTGTTGTGTAACTGTTAAAATTGTAATTGATGTTTTCTAATCTACTAAGTCTTCCGTTTCTTGCCTGCGGTTGTGTTTTTCTATTGTAATATACAATTAATTAATAAGCGTAATGTATTAGTATATTTTCTCATATAATGTTCTTAATGTCAAATAAATAGCTTACGTAAAGTGAGGCTTGTTCAAAGATAAGGTCTGGTTCGATCATTGATTGAAGAAATACAGTCGCGATTTTTTAATAATAGCAAAATTCAGAAAAGATAACATTAATGATTAATTATAATATAATACATATAATTTTCCGTAATCTTACAGAAATAATAATAAAATATTACTTCTTTTCGCGCCTCTCCATTCCTGCCCTCATTCTGTAACTCACTTTTCAACTCACACACGGTTTTCGCATCGGCGGTCGCTCTCAAATCAGTCTGAAGCAGTCATTTCATGATTTGGCATTCTAATAAACAATAAACTACAAGCTCCCACGTTTTCAGAATGTCAAATCATAAAATGACTGCTTCACGACTGATTTGAGAGCGACCCCATGCGAAAACCGCTGTGTGAGTTCGAAAAGTGAGTTACAGAATCGCAGGGCTGGAGGCCGGTCACTCTCGTGAAGCGTAATATCCAAAAAAGTATTTTAAGATTTATATGAAGCGCCGAAAGTTAATTTGAAAACGTATTTTCTGTTTCTATTCATGATTTCCAACAACTTATGATCTCTTATCATAATTAATTAAATAGTGAAAATATTTTGTTTTACACATTATCCTGTTAATTAAACGAAGTCAGTTGCATCAGCTAGTATTGATGATCGCGCATTTAACTATTATTTTGCATCGTCGGGTTTTCCCATTTAAGATCAAGATAATGTCACATTGTTTAGATTTATGACATAATGGAAGGTCAGGGACGAGAAAACTGGAATTTTCCGAGTAAGTGCAAAGGGTACTCTATTGTTGTTACCAATGTTACCAAAACCCATGGGTTCCCCGGTATTTTTTCTTTTTACAAAACTATTCTTAAGTCTGCACTGGAAGGATGGGCTGCCGCTAACATGTCTGACCCAGGCTTCTTTTATTTCAGATTCTAACTGAACGAGATGAACTGTTGATCTATAATAGTAAAAAAGTCCGTGCGTACAAAGTACACATGTCAGAAGTGAAACTTCTTTGTATATTAATTATTACTAAGGTAAAAGCCCCAATAGATGATCATGTACCAGTATATGATCACTCCATGTATTTGTATATCTCTATTCACACTGTTTAAACACTGTATACGTGCTAATGATAATATAAATAAATAAAAAATCTGCGTTTACTGCACAAGACGTTATGCGACAGAATTGCCATCTAAAGTCATTCTAATATGTAACTAAACGAATACATCAACCAATAGCGTGTCCTCGATCTCTCTTTCTCTCTCTCTCAATCTTTTTCACTACAACTCTCACCCACCTCTCGCTCCATGGCACTGTGCGTGATGCGACGTTCGCTCTATCTCACTCTCTGAATTGAGAATTGTCACTAAATAAATTCAAAGCCCTCGTTAAACGTAATTTAATCAATAAAGCATTTCATAAATTTGACGAACATTTAAATGATCCTAATCCTTGGCATTGATTTTCTCCAGTTCAAAGAATTTGTATGACTCAAAACTTAAAACAACTCAAACTTAATAAGAATGGCGGAAAGTTTCTTGCCACTTCTTTTTGCCCGCTCTACGCCTTTGACTTGCGAACTGGTAGTAAATGTAGAATTATATATATGTAAGCTATCCTATCTTTTAAGTTAGATCATACTGCGCGTTTAGGAGTCCATAGTGGACCAACAACGCGTAATCTCTATCTCTAATATATAAAATTCTCGTGTCACAATGTTCGTTCCCATACTCCTCCGAAACGGCTCGACCAATTCTTATGAAATTGTTTATGCATATTCCGTAAATCTGAGAATCGGCTACTATCTATCTTTCAAACCCCTAAGTGATAAGGGGTGTCCACCACCAAAATTTTATTTTTATTTTTTTAGATTTTTTTATGATACAACATACTAAAATACATACAACCCCTAATTTTCATCCCTCTACGATCAACCCCTATTTTTTTATTATTGTAAATAGTAATTTTTATTGAAGTAAAAAAATGTTTCCTAAAAATAATATACATGGCAAAACAATGTTTGCCGGGTCAGCTAGTAAATATATATTAAGATATACCTAACTGTAATTAGTATATAGTTTATAATTAACATACCTAATATTAGTGCAGGGTTTCTCCTTCCAATGTGGCAGGTGGTCCAGACCATTAATCTTGTCCAGATAACCGAATTTCTTCATATCTTGACCGGCATAAATCGTTGATACTTCGGACAATGTTCCGTTTCGCTAGAAAACAATTCTATAGATTATATTATACATTTAGTAAGTTTAAATGCACATTTCATGAACAATTTAGGCCTAGTGGTTTCAGTTTCTCTCTTATCCCAGAGATCGTAGATTCAAACGCTGTGGACCACCTTTCTATATGCACATTTACTCGCCCGAAAACGAAAACTTGCGAGAAAACTGACCTATGACGGCATTTATCAGGGATAGAAGAATGATCACCTACTTGCCTATTAAGATATATAAATTATGATGAAACAGATACATAAATCTGAAGTCTAATTCTAAAATGTGGCGTCACTGGTTTTGTTGGTCGCAATGAAGATTTTTACGGCAATCCTTTCGTAATTGACTTTGGACTTTGTGATGAAATATAATTTATTCATATGTTCACACAAGAATTTTGCAAGTCAATAACAAATTCAATTATCCCAATTTACACTCTAGTTCTCAAAAGTGCGAAGAGCAGACGCGAAGATGTGACAAGAAGCTCCGCCGCTCTTTTAAATGTCAATTATTTTGTTTAAGCAACCATTGCATACATACTTTAAAGCAAACTTACCGCTAATAACAATCCCATTTGGCTGTTAGGTCGCTTGCCCTTTGGATAGAAATAATGTGCCAATGTGACTAACGGGTCATTGTACCTGAAAATTATTATTATCTATTAATCTTACTCAATAACTTAACATATGTACCTATATATTTTTTGCATATAATTTTACTTCGTGATTAGCACAAACCATGTCCAATCGACAATGGATTGGACATATGGAAGTCACACTTAGTGCTGAGTTTCGACTCTAAATTGTACATTTGGAGAAGGAATTAAAGAATTAAAAAATTCAGTAAAGATTTCAATCAATCCTTTAAAGAGTCTAGATCGTGTCGTTAGAGTTGCATCGTTCTTTTTCTTTTAGGATAATGGGGCAGGACCTCGCAGGACTTGAACACCTATCCATGTGTCCATGCTCTTTTTTTAACCCATCAATTCCACAGTTCTTTATATATATAATTAAATATTATTTAACGAAAGTCTCTAAGTACTGTTAATCATGTTAAGTTCTTCGTATAGAACTATTTGATATATATATATTTGAGATATTAAGATAATAAATGGATATTTATCAGTTTTTCTGTTATAAAGTCAGGAAACATATTGAAGTTATATTTAAATTAACTAGAATTTGGGGTAAATCACTTTATTTGACGGTAATTATATATAATAAGATTAATATATTATATTTACGAGGAGGCATCATCTGATGTTAAGTTACACTCGTTGCCTGAAGGCTCGCAAGTGCATTGCCGACCTTTTAAGAATTGGTACGCTTTTTTCTTGAAGGACCCTAAATAGTTTAGTTGGCAGCTGGATCCATATACGTAGTGGTGGTGTGCGGCAAAAACTGCCTTAAATAACGCTCAGTTGTGGAACGACGGACGTTGAGGTGTTACGGGTGGAATTTCGTATTCTGCCTTCGTACGTCGGTACGATGTACGATTAAAAGCATTTCATATATATTTCTTTTTTGACGTTCATAAGTGTACATTATTACAAGTGTACACTCATGATATATACCTTATACCTATATGAATAAATGATTTTGAATTGAATTGATGATGAAACTCATCATATACATATATATATGTGTCCTCTATATACATATATATATAGAGGAACTCCTCTTAACTCCCTATGGTAAATGCTCTTACTACATCGTTTTTTTTCGTATAATGCAGCGATGACAGCTTTTTCAACGATTTATATGATTTGTACTATTAATGAGAAGTTGCGTTACTCACCCAAATACTAGTTCCTCAGCAGTGACGTGGACAAAGGGTTTAGCTCTCTCTCGGTATGTCAGAGACAGCCCTGAGACGAGAAGATTAAACACGAAAGACGCCATGTTTGGAGAGAACGATGTAACGGTCTGTTGACACAACAAAATTACTTTTAAATTATTATATATAAGGGAAGAGAAAGAGATGATGCCCTCTTGCACGCTGGGCTGACGAGATTAAATGATTCGCTGGAGAAGATTGGAAGAATGATCAAGATAGAGCCAGTTGACGGAGGCCATTACACTCTAGAGGTCCTTGAAAAGAATATGGTTAATGTAAATTCAAGTAATAAAAGGTTTAGAATATACATACGAACATATGAATCAGGTAAAACTAAAATAAAAATGTTGCTTTTTTTCTCAATTTATCTACGTTCAATAATAGCTTTATATTTTGACATTTAACAAAGTCTAATTTGATAAAGTAATAATTGCGTAACGTTAAAAGTATATAATTATCTCACCAGAAGCGGTATATTCGGCACAACCAGTTTCTGTGACTTATCCACGGAGAGTTCCGGCACAAATCGCAGTATTTTGTTGTGTTGATATGTCACCGTATCGTTGTCGTGGAATTTTATGTTCACCTTTTCCATGTCTTCCCTGGAAATGTAAGATCAATGTCAAACGAAGAAGTATTTTCTTATGTTTATGAAAAATAAATAAATCTCTTCTTATCTTCTATAAAAAATTTAGGCCTGGGCCTCAGATTTCGTAATCTGTTTCATGATCATTTTTCAATCTAATAGGCAAGTAGGTGATCAGCCTCCTGTGCCTGACACACGCCGTCGACTTTTTGGGTCTAAGACATGTCGGTTTCCTCACGATGTTTTCCGTCCGAGCGAGCGAATGTTAAATGGGCACATATAAAGATAATGCAAACGCCGGGGATCGAACCTACGACCTCAGGGATGAGAGTCCCACGCCACTAGGCCAACAATGCTCATCTCCCTTATCTCTTTATGAACTGCGTTTATTTTGAATATCCGCCATTTTCATCACATAACGCCTGGCCCACGTGACCCCTCCTGCCCTGGATCCGTTCCTGGTTTCCTTGGTTCGCGTAAACTACTGTGTATGCAGTGTCACACCATCAATATAACACGAATATTACAGCAACCTTGCCATTGGATCTAGGTTAAGACGTGAGATAAACATTGGAAAATTGACCCAAATATAAATTTGAGATTTCGAATCGATAAGATATAGGCTAGCCGAATTTCTGGATAATCCACAATATTATTGACAATACCTATTTTATTGTCAATATTATTTTGTGTATGCGGCTAGCCATATTCACAATCGGATAATGACGTATTTTAGATTTTAAAAATGAAGAATTGTCAGTAAAGAATAAGGTTTGACATATATTGGTTGTCATTATATTAATAAAGAAGTGGACTTAATTTATTATCTAAACTAATATTATAAAGAGGAAACGTTTGTATTTGAATGTATGTTTGTAATGTTTTCACACAAAAACTACTCGACAGATTTCATAAATTATTTTATTAGACTCTAGTCTAATAAAATAATTTAAGATTTAAGATTATATTACATTTAAAAAATAGGGATACGCATCAGAAGTTACAAAATATAATTTATAATAATAAAGCTTAAAAAAATCTTTCATTACTTAAAATCAAGAACTTTTCAATACCTACCTTAAATTTACTAAAGTCGAACGAAGTTCTACGTAAATGGTGTTACGAATTTAAAAATGTGTATCTAATAATCTAAAAGAAAGTAATTGAAAAATTAAGTAAAATAAGGCTTTTCTGTTAACTAAAATATAATCTATAGTCCGACTTAGTTGACTTTTCTCTACCACAAGATTGGTATCTACGCGAGGGAAACCGTGGGGTATTGCTAGTTACTTATAAGTTCAGCTATTCTTTAACACGACATTAATTGACTAGATACGAAGTACGCAGTTAGTATTTTCAATAAAATGTTTATTGATAGTAAAATCTGCCCCGTCTTAAGAGATAAGGGTCTTTTAATATATCCGGTAGCAGTGTTGGCCTAGTGGCTTGACACTGCCTCTTAACACTAAACCATCGAATAACGGCTGTACACTGCTTTGTCTTTCTATGTGCATTTAACACATGTTCCTATGGTGATGTAAAACATCACGAGGAAACCAGCATGCCCTAGACTCAAAAATCGACGGCGTGTGTCAGGCACAGGAGGCTGATCACCTACTTGCCTATTAGATTGACAAATGCTCATGAAACAGATATAGAAATCTGAGTGAGGTTCAGAACTAAAAGTTTTTTATATCTATTTTTATTAAATCTATTTTGCTTTTTCATCTCTTTTCCCGACTTCCTTGGGTATAATATGCTTTTCTAAAATAACTTGACACTCGTACCGAAATAATTTAAAGATAAGAGAGCTCAAATGAATGTGCAGAATATTTTAATAATTAAATTCAACACGAGATCTTACGAAGTTTTGAATAAATTTTGATTGCATCAATGACAGCTAAAATGTGCAATATGTCATTTAAGGCAAAGTTTTTTGTGCCGAATTTTATATTATTTCCTTATATAATTTGTATAGATAATAGACTGCCGAGGGGACCTCCAGGAAAAACAGCAATGGGCTAGCGACATCATAAAGGTTTCTGGAGAGAAACGGATGGAGGAAGCAAAAAGCAGATCCAAATAGGATGTTCAGGAGGCGGCCTTTCAACAAAAGTGGTCCAAACTACAGATATAACAATACATGCAAATAAATAAATAATACAGGGCTCCGAAAATGATTTTGTCCCATTTGGTGTCAAGACCCTTGGTCCGTGGGGTCCTAGCTCTATAAGGCTTTTTAAGGAAATAGCAAAAAGGGTAGTCGACATCACAGAAGACCGAAGAGCTAGCAGCTACCTCGGACAAAGAATTAGCAATTCAAAGGGGGAACGCTGCCAGTATCTTCGGAACCTTGCCGAAAGGGACTCCTTTTAATAATATATTTTAGTTATTATATTTTAAGGTTAGTTATTGTTTTTCTGTTATTTATTTATTTGTAACAATAACTAACTAACACCCATCTGATTTGTTTATAGTATGGAATAAGAAGTTTTGTAAGAAATTATATTTGCATTAAAGTTTATTTTATTAATGTTAAAAATAAATACTTAACCTCCTTTGCTCTCACTGATCAGGGGAAAAACCAAAACAATCAATTTCGCTTTCAATTTTATTTTTAAAGATATAAATGTTTAAACTAAATCAGTTTCTGTGACTTGTATACAATATTACAAATATTCTTCTCTCTTACTAAGAATAACTCGGAACTTCCTAACTAATGACTCGTGAAACGTTCAAAACATGACTTGAGTAGATAAACAAAATCTAAAGGATGCTTTACGCTACATACAGAAGTTTATTTAATTTACAACCGTCAATTGTTTTTAAAATAATAATGAAATAAATAAGAACATAATATTTAAAACCGTGCTTACACCTTAACTAAAATCCATAGGTTAATGACATTTTCGACCACTTAAAGGCCGGAAGATAAATGTTTTATTCTCACAATTCATGGGTCTTTCAAACATGGGTATATAAGAGCCGTGCACTTAAAAAGATTTAACATATTTATATATATTTGCAAAAATTTCAAGATAACTTTTCCAAGTTATACAGCAATTTCAATATTTGTTTGTAAGACACAACTTAATTACTAAGATTATTATTTAATAAATGACTTGCAAATTAAATGATGAATTTTAAGCAATTTTAGGCGCATCGAAGTTTATCAAAGACTTTAGCATAGTGTAGTACGAGTATATAATAATAAAAGGATTGCTACTACTAAAGACAATTTTATATATCAGTGGCGCTACTACCTCTTTAGGTCTGGGCCTCAGGTTTCTATTTCTGTTTCATGATCATTTGTCAATCTAATAGGCAACTAGGTGATCAGCCTTCAGTGCCTGACTCAGGCCGTCGACTTTTTGGGTCTAAGACACTTCACGATGTTTTCCTACACCGTTTGAGCAAATGTTAAATGCGCATATAGAAAGTCTATTGGTGCATAGCCGGGGATCGAACCTACGACCTCAGGAATGAGACTCACACGCTTAAGTCACTAGGCCAACACTGCTACAAGGATCGCTACTACCAACACAATTTTATTTTAACTTACCTATAGACAAAAGGCCCGACTTCATTCAACTTTGGTTTTTCTCCATTTTCCAAAAATCCCTGCGGATTGGTCACGTTGAAGATGTAGACTTTGGTTAATCTTATCACTCCTGGCCTTTGCCAGTAACTGTAGCTCAGCGATCCATTCCATAAGCGTAATTCCTAAAGATATAATTCATTATAATAAACTTTTGTTGTGACTAATTCTATCTATAGAAAAAGTTATGATAATATTAATAAAGCCCGTTTTATTTCCAATCATGACAAAAACAAATTATTATATACAGCTGAGATTATTTTACATTTTTAGACATTTTTTTTTCTTTTGCTTGTCATCCTATATCCTAGGTTCCATCAGTACCGTCGATCGGAACCCCTTCACGGGTAAGGGCCTCCTCCAGCTTTTTCCAACTGACCTGCACCTTTTTTTGGGCGACCTCTTCTCCTTCTTCCTCTTGGTCCTTTCCATACAGTTGTCTTTATAAGGCTTAAATTCACCCAATTCCAGAAATGAGACTTGATAAAATCTAATACACTTTTTTAAAGGAATCAGTATTTGCGCAGTCTCGTTTCTGAATTATTGTTAATTGTTTTTCTGTTGTCATATGATTTATTAGTAGGTTGATTATCTTAAATTCTGTATGGAAAGGTTCACGCTCCGTGGGCGTATTTGGAAGTGTGACATCGTTTCGCAAAGCTGTAGGTACTAATTGTATAAAAATTGACAATGCAAACAACTATTCTGTAGAAATAGCAACATTATGAATTTTTTTACTAAAATAATAGAAACTTACCCTTAATATAATATAATCTAGCCATGGCACAAATGACAGGACTATTCCGAGCACCACGGTGCAAATACTAAATGTTATTACTGCTAGGCGACCTGCGGACAAAGGAATCTATTCTTAGCTATTCTGATATTTATTCTAGTTAAGTCAACATTAATAAAAACATTTAATCATTTTCATATTCTTATGTGCCGCATATATTTGTTTACATAATTTTTATACGATATTAGCTTTCTGTCTTCCAAGACGAAATGGTTATTGTTTCGCCGGAAACTGAATCTACGGCCTCGGGGTTAGGTTTAAGTAATAAATTGAACAAAATCACAGGTACATTCAGTGGATCTCAATTATCGGGTCGTGGGTTCGAATCACGGCATTTGTGTTTTTTCTATGAGCGCATTATAAACTTGCGTAAATAAGAGATTATGAAGTAACAGATACAGAAATGTCCAAGGGTTGTAGCGCCACTGCTTGAGAGATTCATAGACTGTAGAATATATTCTAGAACGTCAATCAAACGTAAATCGTAATAGTTTCAAAATTTTATACAGAAACAATGGTTTGACATTGTTTCTGTATAAAATTTAAGAACTTTTTCCTTTTGAAATTTAAAACGATTTTTGAGATACGAATTACAATATGGACGTAATTTAAATGAAAAAAGTATGTGAAATTAAATTGCCATACATAATGCGTCAATAACCAAATTCAGTATTACATATTAAATTTAAATGCGACAAGGAAGTATATATTCTCTACAAAATTATAATTTTTTGTGCGACGCGACACTGCCTTGAACTATCTAATGATAATAAAATTTATGTTTCCCGATACCGGGTTTTTGATAAATAAGTTTTATATTGCCTTTAAGTATTAACTAAGAAATACTTCGATGTTAATTTCTCTCTTGTAAAACGTGGATTTGAGATAATACCGGTACGATGGGTTTACATGTGAAATGGCAACAGCTTGATCAACTCAAAACTATTGCTGGTTCTCCAAAAAGTTCTGTTGATCGTGGATTTAAATTTAAATTTGTTCTTAACTGAACTTTGTGCGTTAAATATTAAAGTCAAGGTCGTTTTTATTTTCTTTTATGTATCCTTTTCTTAAAGAACAAAGGCACATATCCGACGCAAAAACTATGTAATTTTTTTTTAGTTTCAATTCCATCCAGCAAAAAGCGTATACCTCGCGTATTTTGATATTTTTTTGCGACTTCTTTAACAATTATATTTCATTTAATTTACATAAAACATTTAAACCTGAATTACACTGAAACAGAATAAGAATCGGTTGTGTGTTGTTGTGTTTATTTATACATATTATCTAGATTATGAGTAGAAATACTTTTCTCTCATTTGGTTTTTTACATACAAAATTACCAAATGAGGGAAAAGTATTTCTTTCTATATTTACGCTTCTAATTAAAATTACACATTACAGGCGTTAATTAAAGATTTACCGGTGACCCCAGAGCTGGTGCTTTCTGGTAAAATGCCAGCGTTAAATCCATTTTATTATTATGAATATTTATTACTATATAGTTCACCTACCTACAAAGGTCAAGAATATTGTAAATATATAAGCTACTAATCATGAGGTTTTGATTAATTAGGCATTATCTTAGAAACATCTTTTAAAGTTGAGAACATGTCAAAGATGAATGGAAAGAAGCATTATGGGTGTAATAGTGAGACATCACACAAAGTAGAGGATTATAAAATTAAGGCAATTGAAATGGCGCTGGATCGAGTATATGACGAGAGATAGCAGGTTGAAATGGACAGAAATTATAACAGAATGGCAACCTCGAGATGTTAAAAGGAAAATAGGAAGACAGAGCAAGCGATGGGCAGACGATATAAAGAGAATAGAGAAGGCACAACTTGGACAAGACAAGCTAACATTAGAAAATAATGGAAACAGCCAGAATGTATAACATTCAGTTCTTTTATATTTATGTATTTCGTCACTTAGACGAAATTCTAAGTGCACTTTTACATAAAGTTACTAAATTTTGAAATATGCATAAATTATGTTAATGTAAACAACATTAAAACTGTAATCATAGGAAGTAGGATAAACTAAATTTTGAAATGAGTTAAAGTTTTAACGATTATAATTACAGTAAAACCTCGCTATAGCCTCAATTATCAGAAATACTAGGTTTTCCGTCTCGATTTACGATTAATAATTAATTATTAAGTGACTATGCAAATCCTTGTTTTTATCTGGTATCGTTCACGTTTAAGTTTATATACGTGATGATATCTCTGGACACCGTACAACGTGCATGGTCAGAGCAAATAGTCCATCTCTGTCATTCACACATTCACTTATGTTCGTCATTCACAGATACACAGTCATCATATTTTTTTTTCCACGACCATTGTTTTAAAACCAATTGTGTTAGTTATTTTTGTTAAAACATTGTTTATTAAGAGCGAAGCTTCCTTCACAGGCTGCCTTACTAGGAAGCCTCCATCTGAACTCTATGAATAATAGCTAAAATAAATAAATATTTTGAATATTTTTGAAAAGCCGCCAGCGAAATCATTACAAGAGACAGACGCTTGTTTAAATTTAATGTAAATGTTTCGTATTGTCCATTCAAGTCAAGATCCGATTCAGGTCAGAATCCAATTCATCCATAGTCTAGACTCTCCTGAATCTTACCCTGAAAATTGCGATCGTACACCTACTATCTGCAATTATAAACAGTAGCAATCGTACCCTAAATCATTCCGTCTCTTAAATTAACTGAATTTATAATTTTAACTCATCATAAAGTTATTCCGACAAAAAACATTTATTTTTTATTCTTAGACTCTTATGTCATTCAACTGGTATAATCATGAAGTAAGGACTGATTTATGTTATTAATAAATAAGTCCTTTTTACCATCTAAAACTATGGGCAAAAACACAATAATATTTTAACGAACATTGACGAAATGAATTTTTGTTTTGTTTCCTGTAATGTTTGGTTCTCTGGACATATGAGGTTATCATTCTACAGTGATGATATACAATTTCTCGACACTGAGCCTTCAGGCCAGACTGGTCGAAGATCCTTCCTATAGGTCTGAGAGCAAAAATCCTTCCTCCGCAAGTATAGATATAAAAACTATAACACAATTTATGATTATTTTATATCAATTTAAAATATTAAGTTGTTGGTATATCAATTTAAATAAACATTTATTTCTTATTCTATTCACATTGCAATATTTTTTTAGATTTTTTATTAAGTAATTATATTTTGTAAATTACATTTTATATTAAGTAATTATATGCAACGGAAAACAAACGATGCATGATGTATTATATTTTTAAAACATGTCAATCAAATGTGCAAACAAATGCATTAATGTTTGTAGTATTTATAATTTCAGTTAAACGGCAAGTAGGTAAACTCAACAATCTCATACCAAGTACAAGTAGCGGCACAAAACTCTAGCGCTGACCGTTATTGCGCAGAAATAAAAAATAAGGTACCTGAGGGGGGCTAGCGGAATGAAAAGTTTCGATTGGCTCTCCAGTCGCATTCCGTCCCCCGCGCGACAGTACACATGCGCAGCAATCGCCTCCACGTATCGGCCAGCGCTAGACTTACGTACCGCTGCCTATATGCGACATCAGCGCTAACGTTTTCAAATGAAAAAAAAATTGCTTACATTCTGCATTTCGTTAGACTAAATCAGTATTATTACTTAGATTAAACTTTTTGTATGCTGGTACGAGTTGCAGGAGTATAAAAACAAAATATGACGAGAAGAAGCCAAGATGCCAAGAATTCTATATTAAATAATATAATTATAGCTTTATTTTATTCCTTAAGCAAACATACGACACGAGACATTAACAATAAGTAATAAAATAAAATGTTATATGGAAAGCCTCTTTCAAGGCATTCCCAGCCATCTTTCCACCGCCGTCATCGCAATTTCGTCTGTCCATCTGGCACTTGGCCTCTCGAGCTTGCCTTGTGGCCATTTTGGTGATTATACATGGCAAGGTCTCCAGTCCTTTTAATTTTCTTAGAAGGGAGAAAGTTTTTTTTTTATTTATTTATTTATTCACATCATTATTCTATCTTTACAGTTATTACTAATTCGGTAGAACGACACAATATTTATACCCACACCGATTAACCTAGTTAAAAAACATTAAAAAAATATATTTATATACCTAAATCTTATAACTAATAATATAGGAAGAAACTCTTGTGAACTCAGCCAGTGTACAAACAAATAGGTCTACCTCAACAGAAATTATATTTATTATATGTATTACTCGCGTGAGTGGTGCTTCGCTAACCAAGTTGGAATGTGCGCGCGGTACATGCAAAAGTTGAGACTTCCGCCTCAGGTTTTTACTTGGTACCCGTAGACTCAGTCTCTCCATTATATCCAGATTATGAACCCGACCCGTAAGTATCTTAAATAAATACACTGACAAAGCTCTCTTCTGAGTCGTAGCTGGTCATAGCCCACCATACCCCGAACAAACAGGGTCGGGTACATAAGCGGATACAAGGGATACACTCCATACAGTCTCTTGTAGAGGTAACGGGTGAATTTATTTTGTACTCGCTCTAACATGAGACTGTATTTAGCCTCATATCGGTCCCACACCATTGCGTTGCACTCCAAGTGGCTTCTAACTAACGCATTGTATAAAATTTTAATTGCCCTGATGTTCGTGAAGCCACAAGCTATTCGTAATATGAACCCCAAGTTTCTGTAAGCCTTTTTGCATGTCTTATCTACGTGTTGCGCAAACCCAAGATTCGCATTAAAATATACTCCCATATCTTTGACCTCTGATACTCTAGCCAACGTAAGACCACTAATGGTATAATTGTATCGAGTGCATCTTTTTCAATAATAAAATAATATATTAAATTACTAGTTCTGATACAGTACAGTTTTGTTGCACACAAATTTATAGTGCAATTATTATTATTTATCGTGGAATTTATTATTTCCTGGAATGTAACGGACACGTTTTCAAAGCTGTTTTGCTTTTTAAAAACTTATAAAGCAGATAAAACTAAAGTTAGATTCAGTACTGGATAATTACTATTAGGTATGTTTAAATGTTTGCGATGACAAATGACCACCATAAAACATTTACGGGCGTGTCAATTGTCATTAATTGGTCGCCATTTAGCCGCGTCTTGTTTTGTTATTTATTGATGTGTAAAGTCATTTTATACATAGAATGTTAAAAACAGTTAAACCATTGTTTATAGCATTATATTTCCAATTAATAATAATAAGATATTGACTATAATGATATGCCTCATAATGCAATATGTAGAATTACCTTTTAAGACAAATTTGCATGTATGTGTGGCGGAATATGCGAAGTTTTGACTGTACCTGAATATTTTTGTACTTGCAAATAAATTATTGTTATTATTAAAATTAGTTTTTAAATAGGTGTGAGTAGAAAATGATCCTTTTGCCCCAGTAGGCATTCTATTATTCTAAATTAAAAAAAAGAGAATATTGAAAACTTTATAATGCGGTCAAGGGCACAGACTGTCGAATGTTTTGCGAAATCAGTTCCCTGCGTCAACAATTATGACTGTTTTACTTAGAATCCAAAGGGATTATCCCATGTCCAGCCGCAATAGCGATTTGCTCGAATCGGTCTAAACTTGTATATTTAATAAAAATAATATAAGCCTTTTTTACTTGTATATTTAGTTATTAATAAAGGTAATTCGGTAATAAAAAAATACATAGAAATGAGGACTTTTGTCTACTAGCATGTACTCATACGGGTAAAAATAATGTAACTCGCGTTTACGAAGTTATATAGATTTTATTAAAACAGGATTTGATAGGAGGAAAGTTAGTTCGTTTCCGAAACTTACGCTCAGATTCAGAAGGACTTAGTCAGTGTTTCATTACCACCTTAGCCTTCCTAAAATTCTTATGACAATCCCCCCACATCTCCACCCCCCCTCACCCCTCCTACCAAATGGAACATATCTAAAATTGAATTTCTAAGAAATTAAATTTAGAAATTAATTTAAGAAACTTAAATGATAGGTTTTAGGAAGAAATTACTTGGAAATTGTTAACGAAACACAGTAATTAATAATAATTATTAAAACAAATTATCAATTTTTGAAAAGCCCCTCTTAACAATCAAATTTCCCCCTCCCCTGTGGTGCGTGGGCCCCAAGTTGGGTAACACTGGACTTAGTTGTTAGGAATTCTTTTTTGGAAAAAAATGTATTAAAGAAAAGCTGTGAAAAAGGCTTACTATAAAATTAACGATTATCTAGTTGATAGAAGGGCCTGGAACTAGTGCTAGACAGGCTACTTCTAATTAATTTGCGATATTTGTTTTAAAATAATTGTTGTTTGATGATTTGCTATTTTAAAAGTGTACCGAGAGTTTTTTACGCTGATGTCTTCTTTGCCGATGAGTAGGGATGTCTACGAGTAAAATTTAATGACGTGGTGTGCCGTGTGATTGATACCTGTATCATATATTGTAACATATTTTTTATTTTTATATTTAGTACCAAGGGTCAGTGCCAAAAACGTATTTGATTTCGCAGTCATATGTGGAGGAAGGTACTGTTCTTCCTCCGACCTAAAGAGAGGACCCTGGGCCTGGACTGAATTTTGTTAGCGTGGCATGTCGTATTAATTAATACCTAAAGCCTTCGTACAATACGTTACACCGTTTGTCCTTGCATGCCCCATTGGTAATTTAGGAATTTAAGTTTTTAGTACTAGATCTAGTGCTAATTTAGCTCAAATGCCACCTATTATACTTTATAAAGTGCAGTTTTAATTGATCACGGAAACTGTTGTAACACGGGAAATAAATAATTAAAGTGGTATTTTATGTCAATGCAACGTTATAATAAATGTTGTTCAATTTTTGAACAGCAAACGGGCAGGAGGCTCATCTGATGTTAAGTGATATGCCCATGGGCACTCACAAAGCCAGAAAACTCGCAAGTGCCTGTCTCGTGGTTGTAGTAGTGATAGTATTTCCTTGCCATGCGGAGCAAGGTATGGTTTCAGTATTGCAAGCATCTTTAAACATAATAGGGTCTCCAAAGGGTCACGGAGAGTTTCTAACCAGTTCTTTATGCCTACATAATTTTGACTTTGATTTGTTATGTATAACTCAAACTCAAAATATCTTTATTCTTTTAGGTCAAAAGTCCACAAGTACACTTAGGAACGTCAGAAAATAAGTAAAATTAATTCTAAACTTACATTTACTACCAGTTCGCAAGTCAAGGGCGTAAAGCGGGCAAGAAGAACTGGCAAGAAACTTTCCGCCACTCTTTTTAATCGCAAAGTTTTGACTCATACCAATTGTTTGAACTGGAGCAAATCAATCCCAAGGATTAGGATAATTTAAGTATCCGTCAAATTTATAAAAAGCTTTATTGATTAATTTACGTTTAACAAGAGCTTTGAATTTATTTAGTGATAATTCTCTAATTTCGTGTGCATGTATGAGTTGAATAAGAATTTACTGGAACTTCAGATTGCGAGAAATAACATTACGGGGAAGTACTAGCTAAGTTGTAAATTAAGTCTCTTTATGCCAATTATGGAATTAAATGATCACGCATTAACATTAATTATAATACTACGTGCGGTTTTAATCGTAGACAAATATACTACATTTTTATAACAATAATAAACCTGTGACTTCACCTAACTTATTCTTCTGCTCGCTTGTAGTAATCTATGAAATTACTTTCGCTTGAAACATGATAACAATAATATAAAATTAGTACTAATTACAAATCTCAACCTATAGATATTCCATAAATACCATATGGAGATAGATTCAGAATTAAAATTAATAATTATGAGTTTATAAAACTACGAAACAATTAAAAGACTTCAGACTTTTACTAAAAAAAAATTCTACTAAGTATTATTATATTCATTTCCTTTTTTTGCGACTGAGCCACAAACTAGCTGCTGTGGTCTCTAGCAGTATGACCAGCATTGCGGAACATTCTGCTCCTCAGCATAAAGCTGAGCCAGTGCCAATGACAACCACAGCACACACGCATTACACACTTGAAACGAACGGAATGGGAAAAAGGTAAAAAAAATTTTTTAAATCTCTCATTATATTTTTTACTTTATTGTTTTCTTTGATTATTGTTATTTTGTGGGTTTTGCGTTTGTAATAAATGTTATGTCTATGTCTAAAAAGCAGAAGATTTAAATTTATAACTATACTAACAGAAATAGCCGGATGTGAGTGGATGAACAGAAAATATTAATGTCAAACTGGATTGAATATTGGTAGGCCGCAATGTTCAAAGAGTTTGATTTTAAGGACCGATCTGGTCGCCAATCTCCATAAAAGTACATTGTTTCTTTCCATTTTTCGTCATCGTTTCTTAAAGTAGGGCAAATGGAAAAAATATATAATGGAGTTGAGTAGTTTATGTATCCATTTTAAAAGATCGATACACGATTTAATTAACTTCGCTCGATAGAAAAAAATCCAAACATAGCCAGTTTTTGACACTGAATTCATTTTATGACGTAATATAGAACATGATTTTGAAATTTACACGATATATTTTATCGCAAGCCAAGAAAAAGAAATTGATAAAATTACATTAA